TAATATAATGCCATTTTGTATGTTATCTTCACTAACATATGCATTTCCCCCCATATATGCTTAATATAGTTTTGCCTAATATAATGCATTTTTGCATGCCAATTTTGACAAATATATGCATTTGTATGCACACTTTTATATGGACTTTTGCACATGTTGCCTAGCTGGAGAACTGTGCTGCAAAAATTCAGAGAAGTACAGATGCTGAAGGACGGCTGTTTCAGTTTGTGTATCATTTCAGAAATCACGAAAAAGGTGGGTTCACCTTTAAATGCAAACTGAATTGGATTCCGCTCCCCCCCCCCAAAAAAAATCCCAAAATGGAGCTGGGCAACTGGTAATATTCTCTGTTCAGGTCCACCACTCCACCCCCTGCCTCTCCTGTAAAAATATTTTATTATTATTATTTGTAACACCCAACATGCACTTTGCTAGTACCACAGCAAAAGCCTTAGTCTTGCACTCTTCCAGGTGTTCCTGCATTTTTCTGTTTTAATCACAGGCTTCACTGGATTATAGTAAAAGCATTGCTGCTAGGCATACGCTGAGGAGTATTTGGGTTTAAGCCAAATGGTAGAGTTGTTGTCTTTTTAAGGTAGCAGCTCTCAAATAGTTAGTATGCTGACTCTCTCGGATCCCCCCCCCCCCATATGGTGTCCAAATGTTATGTAGAAGGAAGGGCTGGCAAAATTATCTTTACAGTAAAATTGTAGAATAAGTTAGGCTGGAAGGTGCTCAGATGTGGGAGCATGAAAAGCTGCCCATGATGAGTTGGATCCTTGCTCCATCTAGCTCCGTATTGTCTACACTGACTGGCAGGTCGTGGTTCTCTGGGGTTTCAGCAAAGGTCTTTCACTGGAGATGCCCAGAATTGAACTTGGAAACTTGTGCACACAGACAGATCCTGTCCTGCCGAGCTGGGGGAGAGTGGAGGGCGGTTGCATATTTCTTTTGCAGAGGACGTTAAGTGAGCATGTCGGGGAAATACTGGGCTCTGCTCATTCAAGAGAAGCACAGAATCATATCTCCAAGTGGATAACTCAGTTGGTTAGAGCGTGGTGCTGATGACGGCAAGGTTGCAGGTTCGATCCCTGCATGGGGCATCGGCACGTTCCTGCATTGCGGGGGGTTGGACTGGATGATGCTCAGGGTCCCCACAATTCTATGATATCGTTTAAGCCCATCTAGTGCAAAATTCGCTCCATAGGTGGGGGACCCTTTTCAGCGTCTTCAGGTAGAGATAGGAGAGATTGCGTGCTTGAAACCCGCGAAGAGCTGCTGCCAGTCAGCGCAGGCAGCACTAAACTAGATAGACCAATGGTCTTAGCTGGCATATGGCAGCTTCCTAGGTTTCCAGTTCATAGAATCACAGACTTGTAGAGTTGGAAGGGATTCTGAGGATCATCGAGTCCAACCTCCTACAATGCAGGAATATGCAGCGGTCCCATAGGGGGATCGAACCTGCAACCTTGGCATTATCAGCACCAGGAAAGGATTGTTATCCCAGTTGCAGAGCACCTGCCTTGCATGCAGAAGATCCCAGGATCAATCTCCCAGGCGGAACTGGGAGAGACTCCCTGCCTGAAATCTTGGAGAGCTGCTGCCAGTCAGTGTCGACCACACTGGGCTGGATGGACCAATGATCTGACTCAGAATAAGCCAGCATGCTCAGCCTGTGCAGAATGATAGTTCCCGGAGGAGGAAAGAATGGCTAGCTCAAACCTGATTATGTTTGGAGTGTGGAAATGCCCTCCCTTTGTGCTTTGCAGAGCTTATGCAAATGTACACATACATAAAAATCTAATTACTCTGAAGAGCAGAGAGGGCAGAACAGAGCCGCAAAAAGGATCTCTCTCCCCCATGGCCAAACTGCTTTTGGCAGGTAAGGAAACTCTGGAAGTGGTGAGGGTCAAAAGGCAGGTGTGGAATTTACAGGTCACTGACAGGTGTCAAAGGGGAGAGCAGGTATCGCCCACATCAGAGATTAGAATCCAGCTGTTTTGCATCAGGAGAAGATGAAGCCACAACTGCGGACACTGAAGGGCAGAAACTGACAGGAGGAAGGGTGTGTGGGGGGTGGGGGTGGGGGGGTGAGAGAGAGAGAGAGAGAGAGAGAGAGAGAGAGAGAGAACGAACCAGGTTGAAGCAAGATCACAAGTTCCTTCCTTATGTGGCACTTTGAAGGCCACCAAATTTCTTGGGAGAAAAGAAGAAGAAATGTTTGGATTTGATATCCCGCTTTAGCACTACCCGAAGAAGTCTCAAAGCGGCTAACATTCTCCTTTCCCTTCCTCCCCCACAACAAACACTCTGTGAGGTGAGTGGGGCTGAGAGACTTCAGAGAAGTGTGACTAGCCCAAGGTCACCCAGCAGCTGCATGTGGAGGAGCGGAGACGCGAACCCGGTTCCCCAGATTACGAGACTATTGCTCTTAACCGCTACACCACACTGGGAATGACAAACCTAGACAGCATCTTAAAAAGCAGAGACATCACCTTGCTAACAAAGGTCTGTATAGTTAAAGCTATGCTTTTCCCAGTAGTGATGTATGGAAGTGAAAACTGGACCATAAAGAAGGCTGATCACCAAAGAATTGATGCTTTTGAATTCTGGTGCTGGAGGAGACTCTTGAGAGTCCCACGGACTGCAAGAAGATCAAACCTATCCATTCTGAAGGAAATCAGCCCTGAGTGCTCACTGGAAGGACAGATCGTGAAGCTGAGTCTCCAAGACTTTGGCCACCTCAGGAGAAGAGAAGACTCCCTGGAAAAGACCCTGATGTTGGGAAAGATGGAGGCCACAAGGAGAAGGGGATGACAGAGGACAAGATGGTTGGACAGTGTTCTTGAAGCTACCAGCATGAGTTTGAGCAAACTGCGGGAGGCAGTGGAAGGCAGGAGTGCCTGGCATGCTCTGGTCCATGGGGTCACGAAGAGTCGGACACGACTAAACAACAAATTTGTTACAGCATAAGCTTTTGTGAACTATTACATCAGATGAATGAAGTGTTATCCTGACTTACAGGGGTAGGTCAAAATTTTGGGGGAGGGGATTGTAAACATTGAGGTCAGAGGGAAATGGTGCTTGCTGTGTCATTCCAGCTTGTCTGAAGTTTTGCTGCAAATAGAGAGAGATGGGGAAGAGGAATTCCTGGATGTCAAGATCCAAGTTTGGGGCAAGTATCCTTTGGTGACTGAACCCTAGCACAAAACATGTCACAAAACCTGCAGCAAGTCACAAAACCTGCAGCAGAGTATAGTGTGGAAATATAGGCTGTTAGACTTTTAAAATTTGCCCTTCCAAGTGAGATCCAAAATTTCCCCAGCGCAGGAAAAGACCACATGTCTGGAAAGTTAAAAACTGGTTTACTTACGAACTCTTCAAAAGTTGAGTTCATGTGCTTTCCAATAAATCAGTCAGAAAAGTTGTAATGCTTAGCTTAGGTTGTAATGCTTAGCTTAGTTATGAAGCAGTAAAAGAACCACCTCCCAAAAGAGACCGTTCCACTGCCAAACAGCTCTTACTGTCAGAAAGTTCTTCCTGATGTTTAGTTGGAATCTCCTTCCTTGTAACTTGAGGTCCATTGGTTTGAGTCCTACCCTCTGGAGCAGCAGAAAACAAGATTCAATATGGCTATCATATCTCCTCTCACAGTCTTCTCTTCTCCAGGCTAAACATACCTAGCTCCTTCAACTGTTCCTCATATGGCTTGGTTTCCAGACCCTTGATCATCTTGGTCACCCTCCTCTGCACATGTTCCAACTTGTCAATATCCTTCTTAAATTGTGGTGCCTAGAACTAAACACAGTATTCCAGGTGTGGTCTGACCAGGGTAGAATAGAGTCCCTTTGGCCTTGCCACAGAGACAGATTTAGTGAAGCAGGACCGGTTCACCTGCACTGGGCTTCGAGCTGAGAAGATGCACCCCCCCCCCATTCTAAGATGCCTTAGAATGGAAGGCAAGAGGCAGAGGGCATCAGATTTTGGGGCTGCCCAGAGCACTGCTTAAATTTGAAAGCCCAAAGTCTGCCACTGCTTACCCTAACAGATATTTGGGCAGGTCAGCTCCTGCCAACCTAGCAGTTCAAAAGCACGTCAAAGTGCAAGTAGATAAATAGGTACCACTCTGGCGGGAAGGTAAACGGTGTTTCCGTGTGCTGCTCTGGTTTCGGTGTTCCATTGTGCCAGAAGCTGCTTAGTCATGCTGGCCACATGACCCAGAAAAACTGTCTGCGGACGAACGCCGGCTCCCTCGGCCTGTAAAGCGAGATGAGTGCTGCAACCCCAGAGTCAATCAGGGGTCCTTTACCTTTACTTTACCTTTAAGATACAAACAGACCCCTCACAGGCTCTCTCCAGAGAGTCCTCCTGGATATCAGAGAGGCAGATAACGTGTGTGCCATCGCACGATAACACAAACCCAAGATCTGTGAGCAAGCTCCCAGCACGAGCATTCAGAAAAGGCCGCAAAGGAGCAGAAGTACTTCCTGCCAAATAAAATTATTGCCTGGCTAAGCTGGGAATAAAGTCACTTTGTCACAGTGTGCGGGCTGGGTCTGTTTGGCAGGCGATCAGAAGGGATGATTGTTTTCCATCTCAGGGGAAGGTTATATTGAAACATCCTTCACAGCGCATTGAAGCAGTTCCCTGACCCCAGATGCACAGAGGCAGCCGGGACTGAGAGGGAGAGGGGAAAGTTGTGTCACATTATTAAAACTTCAGCTGGATCACGCTGCTGCCGGAGGAACCGCAGGACTGGAAAGAGCCTGGAATGTCAAAAATTCCTCCCCGCTCTCAAATCCTGGCTCAGCATATCCTGCTGAGGTGAGGTGGGAGAGTCTTGGGTGTGTTTGCAGTTAGAAGGGACTGTCCTACTTCAGATTAGAGGTGTAGAATCAGCACAAACACACCCATCTTCAGGGATTTCAATATCTGTAGAATCACAGAACTGTAGAGTCGGAAGGGACCCTGAGGGTCATCTAGTCCAACCCCCAGGAATCTTTTGCCCCATGTGGGACTCGAAGCCACGGCCCTGAAATCAAGAGTCTCATGCCCTACTGACTGAGCTATCTCAGTAGCTCCGGTGTTAGTGGTTAGAGTGTTGGACCAGGACCAGGGAGGCCAGGGTTCAAATCTCCACTCGACCATGGAGCTCAGTGGGTGATCCAGGACCAGTCACTCCCTCTCAGCCTAGCCTACCTCACAGGGTTGTTATCGGGATTAACTGAGGAGGTGGGGAGCCATGTACATGACCTTCAGCTCCTTGGAAAAATTGTGGAATATAAATGAAATAAAGAAATAATACATGGCCAATTTGACACACACTGCATTTTTGGCCCAAAACAGTGAACAAAGTATTAGTACAGAAATAATCAAACAAGGCTGGCAAGTTCAGCCCCGCTCTGTGGGGATTCCTTGCTCATGACCGCAGTGCCTGGAGACAGACCATCAGGCCATGCATCCATAGCAGTGACCAGAGGAGGAATGACCCCTGGGAGGAGAGCAGAGAGAAGAAACGCCATGGGGCATCTGCAGCAGCACAAGCAGACGCCTTCCTCTGCCCCAGCTGCAACAAAACATTTCTCTCCTGTATCGGCTTCTACAGCCACAGCTGGCGCTGTAACTCTTCAACAGTTTGACTTCACCCCCAAAGGCACACTCCTCCATTGTCTCCCGAGACAGACGGATGCCAACCAACCAACCAACCAACCAACCAACCAACTAATGAAAAGGATATAAAATAGCAAATAACCAAATATGCAGCAATAGGGATGCAGAAATCGGACTCTAATTCTTCCAATGGGGCGATAAAGGTGGGTCCTGCAACAGGTGCACTCTTACAGTGGAAGCCACAGGTTTCGCTTCCTGCAGAGGGAAGCGCAACTGCTTCGCTCACACTTTGCGCTGAGCCAGCACAGCAGGGGGATGCTGCAACATTGATGATCGGCGGAAGGCAAGAGGTGGGGAGGCGCACCGATTTGGGGCATTGCGCAGAGCACCGCTGGAATTTTCAAGCCACTGCTTTCTGCGTGTAGCCACATCGCACCTGCCTCTCACGACTCTCCCTACAGGCAAGCAAGAGTCTTGATCGCAGCTCCAAGACCCATCCCAGGAACTAAAGCACTTGGGTCAGGCCATTGAGGGGAGTAGGTGGTGGGGGGCATGGCCTAGGAAGGGGTGTGGCCTGGGAGGAGCCCAAAAGACCAGATGGAGAGACCTGGACAGCTACACCTGGGTTCTCTTCCTGCAGCAGAGCATAGGTGCCAATTTTTTACTGTGGGTGTGACCCAATGCATCGCATGCTGTGCCGGGGTGCTCCATTGGGCCCTCCTGCTGTGGCGGCAACGTGTGATGGTATACATGTGCATCAGGCCCCCACGAGGTTGGGTGGAACTCTGCACACCTGTAGCACAGCCTCTGGTAGTAGCATCCAAAGACTCGGCTGTGTTAGCCAATCAGCCAAGGTGTTGCTGGCTTGCCCAGAATTCCTGCACTGTGCGAACGAGTGCATTTTATTTATTGTTCTAAGTCATGCAGAGAGAGAGAGAGAGAGAGAGAGAGAGAGAGAAGACTCAGCGCTCAGATAAATTTGTTAATTCCTGCTGGGGCTTGCCAGAGCCTCCGAGATGGATCCGTCTCATTAAAAGCGCCAACAACTGGAATTTCTGGAATAACATCTGCCATCCTCGTAAAAGAGGCATTCCCAGAGCTTTTGGGATGCCATCCCTTTGATTTCACCCTGACTCTTTTGGGAGGGGCTGGGGAAGCATGGAGGGAATCCTTCTGCGAGAAAGATGGCAGGGTGACTTATAAATGAGCTTTTAATCAACAGATTTAATATTAATTAATAATGCATAAACAGCTCGGAGGAGAAAGCAGCATAATTACGGCGCGTCTTCGGAGCCCAAAGTGTCCATTGCAGGCTGCATAAAATGTTAATTAGCATAAAATGCAATAAGGAGAAGCCTCTTTTAATTATGTAATGGAGCTCATTACAATGCATAATCAACAAAGCCGCCAAATGAGACCCGGCAGCGGCGTTTATCTACCCCTCTCCCCGTGTGGGTGGATCTATGTATGTGTGTATATATAGCAAATAAAGTTTTGTTTGATGAAGGAAATCTGTTTGAATGGACAGGTTTTTAATTGCCTTTCACCCATTACTCTGTCTCCGTCTCCAGGAACGGAGCGAAAATGACGAGGGTTTCTTTTGTTTCAGACCAAAAGCTTTTGAAGCTGTGGAAATAATTGGCAAGTGGGGGAGGGGGAAATTAATAAATATTGGCTTTGTTTAGGTATCTCAGTTTCTCATTGTTATTGGCGAGCAACCCAGCCCTCCCTCTCTCTCTCTCTCTCGGCAAACTCTCTAGCATGAACAGTGCCATAAGAACAGAAGAAGAAGCTCTGTTGACTCAGGCCAGTGGTCCATCTATTCCTGCATCCTGTTCCTACAGTAACCACCCAGATGCCTATGGGAAACCTGCAAGTAGGATTTGAGCCCAAAAGCCCTCTCCCCTCGTGGGGATTCCAGCAACTGGCATTCAGAAGCATCGCTGCCTCAAACTGTGTTGGCAAAGCAAAACCATCATGGCTAATAGCCACCATTGCTTTGCTGTTTTGTTTGCCTGGGCTCCTTTGGGGGAAAGGGGCAGGAAAGAATCTTAAAAATAAATCATAGAATTGTCGAGTTGGAAGTGTTATGGAAAAATCTAGGTGCGAGGCTGCTCAGTCACCCAGCTCGTCGGGCAGAGCCCGCGGGTCCCTGCGGAATAAAGGAAGGAGTCCAGCCACCAACCACAGCAAATAGCTGTAGACCAAAGTTTATTGCGCAACAGGTTCAAAGAGGAGTTTTGATCCCCGAGGATGGGGTGACAAGGACTTCTAAAAGTTTCTATCTTATTCCAGCATACAGTTCATTAAGCATCACCACTACATCATTGCTACATCAGAAAAGGGGAGGGTTATACATGATTGGGACGCGGGTGGCGCTGTGGGTTAAACCACAGAGCCTAGGACTGGCCGATCAGAAGGTCGGCGGTTCGAATCCCCGCGACGGGGTGACCTCCCGTTGCTCGGTCCCTGCTCCTGCCAACCTAGCAGTTCAAAAGCACGTCAAAGTGCAAGTAGATAAAGAGGTACCGCTCTGGCGGGAAGGTAAACAGCGTTTCCGTGCACTGCTCTGGTTCGCCAGAAGCGGCTTAGTCATGCTGGCCACATGACCCGGAAGCTGTATGCCGGCTCCCTCGGCCAATAAAGCGAGATGAGCGCCGCAACCGCAGAATCGGTCACGACTGGACCTCATGGTCAGGGGTCCCTTTACCTTTACCTTTATACATGATTAACATAGGAAGAATGTGTTGGGGCAACAGGCGGATATAGGATATGTATTGGGAAGTACATTCTAAGCACCTACTACAAAGGGACAATAGGACTTTGGTTTGCATAGTCTGCCACCTGGGCAAGTCCGGAGGAGTGCCTTTGCCCAGTGATTGACACCTATGAGTACCTTTCTGTGAGTACATGACCTCCCACTTCAGGAATTATGGCAGAGGCCGAGTGGTTTCCAAGTCCTTGGCCAATGAAGCAAATTGGCGGTGGAATGAAGGAAACTGGCAAAGGAGTTGATTTTACATGATTTTTTAAAGCTAGGTAACTTCCCTGAGCTGTCAAGTCGAAAGGATATACATTTATGCATGATATTTGTAACAATTAACAACTTTAAAGATGTGCCCCCCCTGGTAATTTCCATAACAGTTGGGACCCTAGGGGCCATCTAGTCCAACCCCCTACAATGCAGGAATCTCAACTAAAGCATCCATGACAGATGGCCGTCCAACCTCTGCGAAATAAACAACCGAACCCTGCTGGTCCGGCAGGAAGTGGGGCAACCATCCCCCCCCCCCCCCCGTGAGCCTGCTGCCTGAAGAAATTTTCTCTATTTGCCTCGTGCTTGGGCTGGCCGTACTCTGGAGGGTGGGGTTGGGGCTTTGTCCAGGGCCCAAGAATGTTGACTCCGTACTCGGGGCCCACTTCCTGCAGGCTGCCATTTCCTGTTTTGCAGAATCAATCTCAGATGGATGCAATGACGTACAGGGGCATTCTTGGTGAACCTCTGTGTGCTTGCACCACAGAAAAGTTGACCTCAAAGGAAGATGGGTGTATTGCAGTTGGGCTGGACTAGATGAACCTTGGGTACCTTCCAACTCCACGATTCTTTGAAGGGGAGCAATTTCCACCCCTCCCTCCATTTTTGAGCTGATCTCAGCTGAGTCCTTTAAGCTCATCCCCTGCTTTACAGCAGACTTCTGTCTATGCTTCCAATCAGGTCAACAGCCTCTTAAGCTTCAGAAATTGTTTCCAAACTGCTCCCTGGGTCCAGAATGAAGGTCTTGTGATTGCTGTGCATAGGTCTTCCCCACCCCCCTTTCTCCCTGCATGACTTGTGGCTCCTCATAACTCCACATTAAAACCCGGTCCCACCACACATTTCAAAAACGAAATAAATCTTGGCTCTTCTCTTCAGCGAGTTTTGCCAGCTCCCATTCGACGTCTCAGACTGGATTATTAATTTAGATTAGAAGCAGCAGAACTCCAATTATCCCCATCCTCTGGGGTCCACCTTTAAATACTCCTTTTAGCATCCTTGACAGAAGTCCTCTCAGGGGAATCTCAGCCTTCTAGCTTAACTCTATCCTTGCTGGTACTGGCTTACCTATGTGGCTGATCTTGCTAGCTTCCACGGAGACGTCTGCTTGCATTGTAGTGATTTTTTTAAAAAAATACTGTTGGCAGCCGTCTGTCTTGAGAGACCATGGACTGTGCCTCCAGGGGTGAAGTCACACCAATGGAGGATCACAGCGCCTGCTGTGGCTGCAGAGGCTGGTAACTCATAACGGCTGCTTCCCACATTGCTTTTTTTGCATTAACAGCGTCAAAGTGCATTCTGCACGGATTTCATTTTGCAGGGTGGGTGGGCATGCACATATCTTCTGCTCCCACCGGAGCTCACAGGCAAAGATCCTTCTGGAAAGGGGCAGGGCATGACTCAAGCATTGTCACCAGCAGGAGTGCCAA